TATATATATATATATATTATATACTAAATGGATCTGAAGCTTACAGCTGTGCCGACGGAAACCGCAAGCGTCTGCATCCCATATTCCCACGATGCATATTTTAACTCCATAAGTAATATTTACGTGGCAGCTCTTTTGTCTGCATAACAAATGTAAATAACCGTTTCCTGTCATATCATATTATTTCAAATTTTTTGAAACTTTTTTTTTTTATTGAGTCATGAAAATTTACGGCTGAAAGGTGAAAGCCAATTTTAAAGACCCACGTAGCTTCTCGAATTTTGTCTTTTTGAATAATTTGTAAAATGAATAAAATCAAAGCAAATATTTTGAAAGAAATATTATATCAGGATTCAGAATTCACTGATATGTATATTTATGGAGTGATAAAAGAATTAAAAAAAAGTGTAGAGCAGAGAAATATTTCTATCATGTTATTCCACATTATTATTATGATGTTATTTATGTGTTATTGTGTTTTGGGAATATTTTCGGTATAATAATAACACAATAATACATCAACACCATCACAATAATATTTAAATAATACAGAAGAACACAAAAAAATATATTTTTTCTATAATAACGAGCCGAAGACACTTCTACTTAAAGCCACATGTCCGTGGACAACGACCTAATGTATTCCAAATTTCCGCTATTTGCTTCCGGGCATGGTTCAAACTCAGTTATAGTGTTATTTTATTTTACATAATATAATACATCAGTATCCCCTCCAATGGCCGCATCTATGTACCACTGCGGCGCTTCACTGCCAATTCTTACTGTGGCAGGCGGAACACGGCGAACTCCCGCAGCAAGGGTTCCTCTTTCTCCGAGGATTGAGCGACAGAGATGCGTCGGCGGACGCACTTGGGCGGCGCCTGTGTTGGCTTGCTGTGCTTCGTTCCCATTCGAGGGGAGGGCAGGGTGGCGACGGCGGAAGGAGAGCGTCTCTCTATCCTCTTTCGGGTTGAACATCGCCGAATTCTTCTCCGGAAAGGATAATACCGAGGCCATATCTCAGGTGTTGTCGTCGATGCTCCCTTTCGTTGTTGCAGCAACTGCTGTTTCCGCTCTCGCGAATCCCTCGACCTTCTCCTGGTTAGCTGCTTTGCTATTCATGTTCTGGTACATGTGAATTTGGGAATTCGGTAAAGGTGGAATGAGGAAGGAGGGAATGGTGGTTTGGACTTTTAAGTTAGGTTCTCTAGGGTTTGGATTCACTGTGGGAGTGTTTGTGTGGTTGGATTGAATTTAAACTTTGGTGGAGATAAGGAGGAAATTTCATTTTTCGTTCTTGATTTGTAGCGGGCTTGTAAGCGTTTGAACCTGAGGTGAACTTGATAAGGACTACTCAGAATCGCCACTTGCGACTAATCACATAAAGTTGTAATTTTTTTAGCTTTGTTGATGGGATCCGAATGTTGGGAAATAAAACAGTTATTGATAGCTAAGTTGAGCATGAGAAAAATGATAATTTTGAGATAAATATATGATCAAA